GGGATGGAATTTCACTGGTCTCCAGTGATTCTGAATCCCTTGGATGTTGATGGTTGATTTCAGAGTTGGCCATCTCCCCAGCTTCCATGGTGAGTTCCCAATCACAGGACTGTTCCTTCTCTTCCTCCTCCAGTTCCTGGGTGTCTCTGCTACTTGGTGACTGGGATGCCACACTGATCTTCAGAATTGACACCTTTTGGTAGATTATCTCTTAAAGCCACACCCTCACTCTCCTTCACTAGGCCTGGATTTGACTCTGGGTTGCCTGTCCAAAATCTAAGAACCATATCACTGTGCCAGTCTCTGCCCACAAGATTTTGTGAGGTGGAAAAGAGAAGTCATATTGTCCTCCTGGACAGTTGTAGGGGCTTCAGAGAGCCCAGAGTTATCACTAGGTGAAGTCTCTCTCAGGAATCTGAGCTGGGAAGCAGAAGGAGGGTTCTGTGTGGAAAGAGATTCCATAGTGGAAGTTGTTTTCCTCACTTTCTTGTCTAGGCCTTTCTGAAAAGTTTCTCCCAGGACACTGGCTGTTTTCACAATTTAGTCATCTCTAGAGTTCCAGAAGGACAAAGAAGAATTGGAGGGCTGTGGAGAGAGCAGAGCTGTAGCCATGTTCATGTTAAAAACATGTATAGACTCTTCCTCCTCTGCCTCCTCCAGTTCCCTGGTGTCCATGCTAGTTGGTGACTGAGATGCCACACCGATTTCCTTAACTGACACACCAAAGCAGTATCTCTTAAATACACACCCTTGACTAAGCCTGGATTTGGCTCTGGGTTGCCTGCCCAAGATCCAAGAACCATATCATTGTGCCATTCTCTGCCCACAAGACATTGTGAGGTGAACAGAGAAGTCATATTGTTCCCCCTGGACAGTTGCAGGGGCCTCGGAGGGCTCAGAGTTGTCACTAGGTGGAGTCTCTCTCCAGATTTCAAACTGGAGGTCAGAAGGAGGGTTCTGTGTGGAAAGAGATTCCATAGTGGAAGTTGTTTTCCTCACTTTCTCCTTCTAGGCTGTTCGGAAAAGGTTCTCCCAGGACACTGGCTGTTTTCACAATGGAGTCCTCTCTAGAGTCCCAGAAGGAGGGCTGTGGAAAGAGCACAGCTATAGCCTTGGTCTTGTTGAAAACATGTATGGTCATGAGGCCTATGAGGGGCAGGCTCCATCTGTGCCTCACCAGGTGTCTTGTAAGATGTGTTTCCAGCACCTTCTGAGTGCCAGGATCTGGCAAGGGAGACCCACTAGAAGTTTTATTGCAGTCGGTCCAGTCATTCAAGGATGGATTTTTCCAAGTTTCCATATTTGTCTTTAACTTTTCAGGAGGGACCAATGTAAGGTCCATATGTATCGTATTCCACGACAAATGTCCACGTGCACTTTACTGCCCTTAGTATGCCTCCACTTGCTGCTTGAGTGGTTTTTTGGGGTACCTTTAGCGGTTCCTTGTTGGTCCCACTGGGGAAACACTTGGAGCATCACTTCTCGAGTGTCTCACATGGCAACTTTCCTCCTCTGTCCAGAGACAGCCCCGAGAACTTTGCCTAGGTAACCTTCTGGGCTCCTGTACAGACCTTTCAGAGCTCTTCCCAGACCATTTGTCAGGTCCTTCCGTAGGTGGCATGTCTCTGGACCCTGTGATGAGACACTCTGTGCATGAAGGCTACTTTCATCTCCCAGTGCTGAGGAACATGAGGTCCTGTGATCAACTTCTGCCTGGCCCATCCATGGGACTTTGTCTAAAGACTTCCTCAGATCCAGAGATAGCCAGACCTGTGGAGCAATTGGTGTTGTTTTAATCTCTTTTTGAAGTGTCATTCCAGCTGCTCCTGGAGCTTGAGGTTAATGAAATCCCGGGGTAGATGAGTAAAAGACCCCTGGCCTTGGGAGGTGCAATTGTTGGAAGTGAGTTGATTAAAAGCTTCCTGTCCTTTTAAACGATGACCAGTAAATCACACCTACTTTCTTGGTGCTTCTTCAAATGCTGGTCACTCCAGGTGTGGAACAGCAGGTGGAACCATAAATTGGCATCTTGAAAGCATAGGGCAAGAAGCCCCCAAATCCCTAATTGGAGGTGAATGGTGTGGTAGCTTTGGGAGAGAGGATGGGTCACAGCCCTGGGTTTTTATTCCAGCTGCTGGCTGGAATGGGAGATAGGACCCAGATAACTTTGGGTTCATAAGTGATGAAGGTAGGGCTTTGGAGAAGAGAGCTGTGGAAGGACTTTAGTCTAAACTTGTGTTGACATGCAAGCATTGAATAAGATGGAGGGGGCCTCTAGTGGGGACCCTGCCATGTTGACAGTAGCCACAAGGGACTCACTGTGAAGAAAGGGGAAGCCCCAGCAAAGCTGGCTGCTTTTCTCCTTCACATTGTTGTCCATGGCCTTTTGATAAAAGAATTGCTGATGACCTGAAACTGTCTCTGATTTGCAGGTTCTGATGGCGGCCTGCTGGCTGCTCCAGGACTGTAGCATGTTGTCCATACAGCCCAAGACATGGGCAGTCACATCTTTCTTTGCCTTTCCCCTTCCAAACTTACAAATTTCCAAACTTTTACACTATTACTAATCTGAAGTTCCAAATTTCAACATTATTACTAACCTGAATTTCCAGCCTATCCTAGATATCAGGGTTGATGAAAAAGGGCTCTCTAGCCTCTATCTGCCTGTGTGTGAGCCCTATCCAGAATGAAGCCTCTTGGAGGCTGAGACATGGAAAATCTTACATGGACTTACTGTGTGATGAGCTGGCGTGGAACCAGGTTGTGGCAGCTACCTGGTACCAGGAAGGGCCTGAGGTAGGCCTCCCAGAGTGGTCAGGGCATATTAAAGTAGAGGAAGGGAACTATTTTCAGTTAGTTTGGGGCTAATGCATTCTTACCTTTTGGGGGGTGGTCTTTTCTGCTTGCGGAGGTGAGGGTGAAGTAAGGTTGAGGAGGAATAATATGTAGAAGAGCTGAAGCCCACACACAAAGGCAAGGATCATGTTCACTGCCCAAGTAGTGAAGCTGGGGGTCAGCCATGAAGTGCAGTCAGCCAGGCAGAATCAAGTTTTTCAAAAGGAGAGAGAAGATTCTTTATCATATAGTGTTGTTCTCCAAGAGTTCTCTCTGGGAGTTAGCCGCTGGACCCAGGCTGGCATTACAGAGTCCCTGTCACAAAGGGCTCCTGAGTGGGGGAGGGGAGGTAGGAAGAGGTGACAAGACAGTAACTCTCCATTCTCCAGCCCTCACAGGTTCCCCTCCTCCAGAGTCTTTGGTTTCTGTAATCAATACCACCTGCACACTGTCAGAAGTAGTGGCTTGTCCATGTTCTGTTCCTCCCCTAGCCCCACAGAGAGGCTTGTCCATGTTCTGTGGGCTTTTGAAACCTCCAAGACACCTACAGTGGCATACATCCTCCAAAAGACCACACCTCCTGATCCCTCCCAAACAGTTCCACCAGCTGGAGACCAAGCACTCAAACATATGAGCCTCTGAGGGTTTATTCAAAGCACCACCTTCCACTCTCTGGCCCTCCATAGTCATGTAGCAATACTGTAGCTATATATTCCCATTCCTAAAGGGAGATTGTACCAAAGCAAGACCAAAACGCAGCAGGGTAAACTCCAAACTCTGCATCTTCATGTCTGATATCAAAGGTCTTCCAGTTCAGATCTCCCAGTCCTTTCAGCTTTGTTGACTGCAACATCCTTCTTTCCCTTGGGCTGGTTCCACTCCCTGTTATCAGTTTCCCTTGGCAGGTATCCTGTGACTGGCATCTCCAACATCTTGGGATCTCCAATAAAATGCAGGCTTCACCTTCACAGCTTCACAGATTGGCCTCTCTAGGCCTCCATGCAGGGACACCCTTGATATATGTCTGGCCTCGGCAGCTTTCCTTAACCACAGAGGATGATACCACAACCCCTTTACTTGTGTTCTTTCCTGACTCTATAGCCATCACCATTTGACCAAAGTTGCTAAGCTCTGATGCCTGTTTAGGATGAAATCTGAAACTGGACCCTTCTTGAATTGTATTGCATAAGCTTTGATTTGTTGTTGCTCTTGAGGTACAAGTCATACCTTAAGGCCTTTTATTCTCACAAGTTGCAGGATAGCTGGGTGAGGTCTTGCCCTGAGGGTACCACTCACTTTATTCCATTCCTCTTTTTAACTATTTCAGCACCAACCAAGTCTCCAACATTACATTTCTTGTGCTCTTTATCTCAACTGTACATTTGTATTTCCTTTTGCTCTGCTTGCCCTTTTTCATTGCAGATCTGCATAACAGTGATCTCTAATAACCACACAACAGAGTCAATATTAAACTGTCTTGAAATCCTTTCTGCCTCTTAAAATCTTTGAAATTAGTCCAAAGCTTTTCAATTTAGCTTCAGGCAGACTCTTTGGACAAGGATGGAAGGCAGCCATTTTTTTTTCTTTTTTCTTTTCTTTTTTTGCCAAAATATCACAAGAACTGTCTTAGCTCAGAAGCTAATATTTTTCCCCTCTGGAGTCTCTTCATCTGGGCCTCTATAGTCTACATTGCTCTCAGCACTGCATTGACTTCTAAGCTCCTACTAGGACTTCCCTTAAAGCCTTGTTTACAGCATTCAGCCACTTTCCTAATCTAAAGTCCCAAAGTCTTGCACATTCCTCAAAAACCCCAGCATGGTCAGGCCTGTGGCAGCAATATCCCACTTCTGGTACTGACTTCTCAGTTACTTTTCTATTGCTGTGAAGAGACACCACAACCAAGGTAACTTATAGAAGAAAGAGCTTATTGGGGCTCACAGTCTCAGATGGGGGGTCCCTGACCATCATAGTGGTGAGCAGGGCAGCAGACAAGCATGGTGCTGAATTGGTAGCTGAGAGTTTACATCTGATCCACAAGCAAGAGGCAGAGGGGAGCAGCACACTGGGAGTGGTGTGGGCTTTTAAAACTACCAAGCCCACCCCCAATGACATACCTCCTCCAACAAGGCCACACCTCCTATTCCTTCCCTAACAGTTCTACCAATTGGGGACCAAGCATTCAAATACATGAGCTTATGGGGTCCATTCTCATTCAAATCATCACAACAGTGGAATTTTTTACACTGAGTCTATATAGCAAGGAGGGAAGAGCTGACGTCTTTATAACGTTCAATCTTCTTATCTGTGGGAACATGAAGCAGTTTGCTCTGTCTCCTTCAGTCACAATGTTGTGCTTCTTCTTATATGGATCCTGTGTGTATTTTGATTTTTATTTGAATACTTAATATGGGGTAGTAGGATTTATGTTTTCAATTTATTTATTTAATGTGCTCTTAGAAGGAGGAGACTGCTTTTTCCATATTAATCTTTAAACTTTGTAGCTTTGGTATGGCCATTTATCCCTTCAAGAAGTTTTCTTGTTGATTTTGTCAGAGTTTCTGGCTGGACAAACTTGTTGTCTGCAAAACAGAAAACTTCTTTCCTTCTTTCCAAATCTGTGTGCTTTTCATTTCATTTTCTTATCCCTGTGCCACCAGCTGCCTTTCCCTTTCTTCCCCAAGCCCTCAGAGTAAGTCTGGGATTTTTCTGCTGCAGCCTCTCTACAGCAAATGCCAAAGGCACTTGGGGTTCCCAATGTTGCCAGCATTGACCACTTTCCTATCTTCTCCCATGCAGGTGGCTGGCTTGTTTGCTTCTTTTTCCCCATGGGTTGTGGGCTTTCCCTGGACCTCCTTCTCAGGCTTCTGACACTCAAGTCAGTGGCAGCTGTCCTTACCCAGGCTGTTCACCACCTGTGTTCTCTGCTCAGACATGCTATATCTCACATTTCACCGTCATCATCAGCAAATTTGGTGAGACAATTGTGAATTCTTAGAGAGGGAAGTTAGCTAAAAAAAAAAAAAAAAAAAAAAAAAAAAAAGAGTTTTTTTCCAATGGTAAAAAATGGGAAACACTATTACAATGGAGGGAGTTAGGTCCCTGTATGATTACACAATTAATAGTTTTAAAATGGAACATCCAAATGAAGGGATAATTAACTTAGATAGGATTCATGTAATATCAATTATAAATATTATCAGTTTGATAATTCTTGCTTTATCCCTAAAAATGTTGGTTGATATGACTGCCAAGTTGGTTAATATGAGTGCCAAGGTACAGGCCTTAGAAAAAGTTACTAGAGAACATAATGCCATTTGACTGATATGCTACAAGCCTTAAGAGATATTTATACAAAGACAGAGGAATTTAAAGGAGAACAAACCTCAGTATTACATTATAAATTAGAAAGGAACAGCTCAAGGTTTTCAAATTAGCAACTTTAATTTATCCAGTCACCTTAAGGTAACTGCCAAATGACATTATCCCCAAGGCTGTGTAAGCGCTGACTAGATCCTGTGGAAATGTTACATTCGAGGAGATTTAAGGAAGCAATAGTCTCATATGGTGTGCATTCACCTATTGTGAAGCAGATGTTAAATTCATGGTCAAGTAGTAACAGAATTGTCCCAAAGACTAGAAAGACTTGATGACAGCCGTATTGGAGCCTGATCCTCAACTGCAGTGGAGGACCTGTGGAAAGATGAGGCTACAACTATTGAACAATGAAGTAAGGTTAGAAGTATTGCAATTTCTCAAGACCAACTTCTTGGAGAGGGTAATTATGCTGATGTACAAGACAGTGCTATGTGATGACCACACCTTGGCTCTATGCTGTGCAGCAGCTTTGAATACTTAGGACAGAATTGAAGTCAGAAAGAGAACTGAGGCATTTTCTAAAGTTATACAGGGCCCTAAAAAGCCCTTAACTGATTTTTCACTAAGACTGACTTCAGCTGTAAATAGAATGACACCAAATTCAGAAGCTAGACAAATAATAATTGAATCTCTGGCTTTTGAAAATGCTAATTCACAATGCAAAGGATAATTAAGATAAAAAAGGTCAGATCAGCACCCATAGAGGAATGGCTCTGAGATACAGTCAATATTGAATCTCATAACCGTGATGATGCTCAGATAGGAGAGGTGATTTCCAGAGGCTTGGAGAAAAATCAAAATGTCAGATGGTTTAATTGTGGCAAACAAGGTCACCTAACAAGGAACTGTAGGCAGGGCATTCCTAGAAACAATGTTTCTTCTAGGAATTATCAAAACAGAAGGCCCTTGCCTTCTAAAGTATGCCAAAGGTGTGTCAAAGGCTGACATTTGGACCAATGAATTCAGATCAACTAGAGACAGACAAGGTAACCCTTTGCCATTAGGAAATAACTTGGGGGGGGGTACCTGTGGCCCTACCACAGGCCCCCGTGTCAAATTTGGTTCAATAGTTCCCTGTCATCATGGGAGAAACTCCTCCCCAGAGCAATTAAAGGACCTAATGCCTATTATAAAAAAATACTGCTCTGGATGTTAGAAGCTTTAGAAGCTAAAACAAAAATTTCAGGAGAAACCAGAACAAGAGAGAATTCCTGATTAGGAGAGGTAATAGTTCATCAAACAACTTGACCATTCAATCTAAACTAACTTATAAAACTAATAAATGCTTTTCAATTGACCTGATATAACTTGTCAAAAGGGAACTACCCCAAAATTAGGGTTGGGGCGGGGTTTTGTTTTTGTCTATTCAGGAGAATAAAGACATCCAGCTAAGGAATGTGAAGACCACTGGACAAATGAGACATCTGAAGCAAAAGGACAAATCATCCAGAGAAAATATTCCAAGAAAAATTGGCCTATTGGTATGACACATTCCCAACAGGATAAAATTTCATAAATCTCTCCAAATGTTTGTTACTGCTGTTCTCTACAGACATATAATGCAAATGGTTTTTTTGTAGTCCCAGTTCAATAAAAATTAAAGCTAGCTGGCTTTGGAGTTAGAGCGTGGCTCTCTCCTTCTCTAAACACAAGCATGCTTGTTATAGGAGAATCCAAGATCTGCCTCATGTCAGAAGAACCACCTGGTATGGGATAGAAGAAAATCCAAAATTAAGGGATATTTTATTGCCACTAATCTCATAATTCTTTGATTTGACTCTTTAAAACTTTCCATATGATATAAATACTATATGAAATTAATATATATGTATATTTTAAACTTTTTGTCATGATATTAATGGTCATCTAGAGTACTAGCTAATTCTAGAAAAAGGCTTCATCTAGCTCCCTGTACATGGTTTTGGGTTTGAGTCTCTATCAGGTAACTAGGAATTAAGTTTTTGTCTCTGCATGTACATAACTATGGGGGCCACAGAGACTCCATATTGTGGCCAAATTTCAACTTGGCTCAAGGTCAGAGAGTCCAGGCTTGTTTTGCCATGCAAGGCTGCATAATAGAATGTTTTGGCCAAAGGCGTGGTTACCAGGTGTCTTATATTTTGAGGCCTAATTACAGAATGCTTTGCCATAAGGTGTGGCTACTCCATGTCTGAGAATTAAGGAAGTGTTTACATTTATCTGTACTTTGTACCTTAAACCATGGGGTCCTTGAGAAGGGGGAGGTCTTTTGCCTCTCCCCTTGCTGGTGTGTAAGAAGCCCATGGAGAATAAACTCAGGGCAACTGTGGTATTGACTCAGAGCCCTCCCAAACCTATTGTGTGTCTCTGTCTTTTTCTTTTACATCTACGACTCTATTTTTCATATCTATTATTTCTCAATCCACACTCCCCTATATCAAGGACTGTCCAAAGGTCATGCTGGACTTTGCACATAACAAATTATGGTCCTTTAACCTCTTTGAGATTTGCTGCATATGACATGTAAAGTGTTTAAGTTTTCTGCAGTGAACCATAACCATGCCTAACAGTGACTTTTGTAGTCTCCAAAAGGAAGATGGAGCTCCACAATGACAATTCCACCAGGACTATGGTAGTGCCACTAAGCTGACAAACACCACCCAAAGATTAGCTTTGGACTACAAATTGCTCAGGACAGTTTCAAGGTGGCTAGCTGAGATGGTCCAGCCTCACAGACTACTCTAGCCAGGACTTGAGATAAGCCTTCCATTTTCCCATTACACAAAGACTGGACAAGAAATAATACAGCTAGCTCTCCCGGGACTTGACAATTATCCCAATTTTTTCAGGGTCCTCTAAAGATGCCATAACCACCAGACAGCAGGAAGTAATTTTAAGAACATGACACCCACATTCCCAATGTGGAATGTAAAGCAAATTTTTGTCCTTGAAAGCTATTATTACAAACTAAGATAATTAAAAAATGCAGGTAAATAGTCACCTATTACAATCAAACTTGTAGTCATGTTAGGTATGCTTTCAAGGTCAATCAGAGATATATTTTAGGTAGACAAGTGGTCTTCACACCTGTCAGAGACCTACAGAATATGGCATTTAAGATGTTTTAATAATCTAGGTTCTTTTTTTTTTTAATGACAGTGAAACATGTCTGCTCCTGGCAGCACCAGTTTACTTCAGAGAAGATGATGGGCATGGAAGAAACTCCATATGAAGTTTACTTTCTTTGTGACAAAAGTTAGCTACTAGGCAAGAAAATGCCCTTGCCTCGACTGCTGGTAGTATGCTGTCCAAATTGGACAAGTAGGACACAAAAGAAAGTGACTGCCAAACTTTGCCAAGACAAGGTAGACAGTCCTTCATAACATCCTGTTTCACAGAAAAGTCTGTCAGATATTCTAGGCCTGTAGGCTGTAGATGGATGCCCCCAACATTACAGAAGAACCTTGGGTGACTGTGCAGGCAGCCAGCTGTTTCTGTCATTTCTCACATTTTTTGGAAGTCACTTACTTGCACTTCCAACTTTCTTAGGTAATATTACTTCCATGTCAGGTCTTTGACAGAGTTGAAAACTACATAGTTATAGTCTTCCTTGTTAAGAAATTCAGAAAAGAAACTTCAAAAGAAATGTAAAGTGTATAAGGTTGAGACTAAAAGATAGTTTTGGGTTGGTAATACAAATTAGGATAGAAGGTAAATTAGGTACAACTCTTTGGACTCACTAAGATAGGATAGATAATGGAGTATGTTCTCTGAATTTGTTAAATGCAAATGGACTGGACATTGTTAATATAACTCTTGACTGTATATATTGTATATAATTATTGTATATAGTTTTTCTATGTTAATTATAACCTTCACTTTTATTGAGACAAAAAGGGAGAATGTTGTGTGATAGTTTGTTTGTGTTCCTGGGGTCAGAGAGTGAAATTAGCCACTAGTCAACCACTGACGTCTGGGGGTCTATGCAGACAGGTGACAGGAAGTGATAAGGCTGGGAGGAGAGGAAGTGATGAGTGGGTGGAGACAGGATCTAGGCCCTTCTGGTAGAGAATTCAGAGAGGTAAAAGTCTCTGGTGGCTGCTGCTCTGCTTCTCTGATCTTTCAGCTTTTACCCCAATATTTGACTCCCGATGTTTATTGATTAAGACTAATTATCATGCTTCATTCTCATGCATAGAGAAGATGATATTTTAGGATGTTTTTGCTACACAAACAGAGCAAAAAATTAGAGACCTATATAGAAAAGCTTTCTGAATTTACTCTAAAAAGAAAATTGAGACTTCATCAATTAACAGGAATGGACCCAACAGAAATTGTAGTAGCTTTTACTATGCTGAAATTTCCTCCTTACAGGCAAGAAATGAACATTGGCAAAGAGCTTGCAATAATTTTTGGGAGAGATTAACAACAAATATCCCAAAAGCAAGAGACTTTAAATTATAAAAAGAACCAATTGGGTCCTTTCTCACATTGTGTGAGAACACCAATATCTGGAGCCCCTACATTCTATACTGATGCAAATAAATCAGAAAAGGCAGGTTATAAATCAGAAAATTTAAATAAAGTGGCTCAAAGCCCTTATGATTCCATTCAAAAGCCAGAATTATATGCTATTCTCATGGAGACTTTCCAG